ACCTGGTTCAGAAGTTATTTTATCATAATATGTCTTCTCTGTTTGCTGGGATGTTGTATCACTCTCAGCTTGACTTGGCCCTGACAGGTAGGATCAAAGTAGCCCTCATATATCAATTAAATTGTGTTGATGGAGGCGTGTATAACAATCGTCAGTCTGCAGGCTGAAAGTGACCCAGATTTCCTGGTACGAATAATGTTTACCCTTAAAAATAGCAGGGGTTTTCTAGCAAGTCAGATCTCAGTTTCCGAAGCACTTAAACTTTTGCATCTTGTATAGGGAGGTCCATCTTTGACCACATTATGAAATGATGATTGAAAAAGAGGTGCATGGTAACTATTTTTCGCTTTCACTGGTTGCATATGATCCTGAAGATAGGTATTTTTCTCTTATAACTTTCAAATAGTTTCAGTTTTAGTTCAAGAAGAAGCTCATTGACATCGTAATAAATGTCTGTAATGCTAGAAAAAAGCAAAACAACCCAAAATGATAAATAGAGGGATTGTAAAGACTTCACGACTTATCTTGCCCTAGCTTCACGAGTATGTTGTTTCCATATGGTTCACTATTTCTCTAGGAGAACTCTATATAATTGTACTTGTTGATATTCTATGTCTCCGTCTCCACAAATTGAAATTTTTTTAGAGGCAGACTGCTTTAACCCTGCCTGTCAGGGCCAACCTGGGTTTAAAGGGATACAACATCCCAGTAAAAAGACTGAAATGTTCGATAAAAATTTTCCCCACTCAGGCATTAAACTCATGTTTTCTTCCTGCACTTACAAAGTGCCTAACTACTATACAACAGACACTGGCATATCGCTACCTTTAAGTTACAAAACTTTATCTGCTCAATACCTAGAATTGAGAAATTTCACATAGGAAAATTTGAGTTTCACATCATGTCAAGCTTTTTTAATGCAATTCTTTGAATATCTTGATAACTTTACTTTTACTTTTATCTGCCGCTTATACCCTTTTGGGTGTCGCAGGAAGAAAGAGACGTCTCTCTGTCGCCAGCCGGAGAGCTTGGGTCAGGGGGATGATTGATAACGACTCTGAATAATCTTACGATTTTGACAGAGCCGAAAGAACATTTAGTTTCTGACCCCATGGTCTTAATAACTCAAAACGGCCAAAAATGTCAGATGGAATTTTGTAATTCTAAGGTAACGATGATAACTCTGCAACAAATTACTCCACAACAATCTGTTTGCTACCAAAGGTTTTCACAACCCGTCCTCATGTTTTTGTTTTTGTAAGTGTTTTACGGCGCTCGCAACTGCATAAGATCATATGAGCGCACGGGACACATTAAACTTTTTCAGTTGGCAGGAAATTTTGAATTTTGCCCGGGTGACGGCCGAAGCCTACTCTTATCGATTTTAGACCACCAAGGGATCTTTAACGTGCGCAACT